TTTTATAAAATATATAAATGAGATTAATATTCCTTTATATACTGAGTCAGTTTGGAATCATTTTTCATTTCAGTCAATTATTAATAGTCATTTTCTATTTCAATTGGCCTAAATTTCATGTCATTTTTATTCTTAGTCAATTATTTCTTTTTAATACATATTAATTAATTAGTTAGTTAATAATTAATAACCATTTTTTTATATTTCCACTGACTTTACATTTTATAAAATACAAAAAAAAATATAACCGAGATTAATATTTCTTTCCATCTCGATTAAACGTTGAGATGCAAACCTCATTTTACATTTTTATTAATACATTTTATACCAATAATTTTTATATTTTTATTAACTTATTAATATTCAAGTATTAATATTCATTTCCTTTTCCAATTGACCTAATTTCCATAAAAAAAAATTATATTTCTAGTAATTTATTAATATTCAAGTATTAATACTCATTTCATTTTTTTATTTTTTTAATCAAGTATTAATATTCATTTCATTTTGTGCATTTGAGTCAGTTTTGAAGCATTTTTAATTTTCAGTCAATAATTAATAATCATTTCCTATTTCAATAGGCCTAAATTGTGTGTCGTTTTTATTCTCAGTTAATAATTATTTTTGTAATATTCTTTTAAATACTATAATTTCACCACGAACAAAACAAATGAATATTAAAAGGAATGTAACCCCATTAAATCTTTCAATTTAAACAAAAGACAGAAATTTAAAATTTTAAATATAAAATCTATACGTTTATTCGTTTTACTTAATATGTTTATTACCAATTAACTATATTACCAATTAAATTATAAAATACCATACATATTATTACCAATTATGCTATTATTTAATTAATATATTTTGTACACGGTATTACCAATAGAATATTTAATTTTTTTGAAAGGAATATAGAATATTTAATTAATTGACTACAAAAATTTGAGCGGAAAAATGAAATAGGAGGATTTTGATTATATATATATATATATATATATATATATATATATATATATATATATATATATATATATATATATATTAGGTATTATTTTTATAATTAAGTTATAATATTATTAAATCAAAATTATTTAAAATATATAGATCTACATTAAGAAAAATCTTATTAATTTTGGATATTAAAATTATATATTTATATTAAAGGTGAAATTATAAATAATTAAGTTTCAATAAGTTTAGTTATTTCTTAAGTTATATATAGTTAGTAATGAATATTTTTTTATATTAGATTATGCTTATATATGGCTACTCGTATTAACCATCACTATATTATATTAATATATAATTATTTTAATATAATATATAATTAAATTTAAATATATGGTTAATATTTATTCAATATTATTATGCAAGTATTACAATTATAGCTTTGTATATGTAAAACATAGAAACTTAAATAGTTTAAATTAAAATTATTAAAAATAATGCGTCTACAATATAAAATAAATTATACTTGCTTTAATAATTAATTATTAATATAATTGCCTAATATAAATTTACAATTATTAATAATTATTTGTGATAATTATTAGGCATTAAAAAAGATAAATAAAAAATAATAAAAATAGAACAGGAAATAATATATAGATCCATACAATATCTTTCATAAGGCAAATTGATATAAAATTTAATCTATAATTATAGTAGGAATAGGAAAGTAGGAAAGAATATATTGTATTAGGAATTGTATTAACATATTTTAATGTACAATTATAGTACGAATAGGATTTGTATTACCATATATTTTAGAATATTATTATTCCAAAAGGCTGAACCCCACCTCTAAGGGCCCCCCACACCCTGGCCCGACAGAGCATTTGGGAGGATGTAAATCAAGGTGACTCAACCGAACATGAACCATAGAGGCTAGACCGGTGCTCACTGCGCACAAGGAGCCCCCCTCACTTTGAGAGGTTGCTCCCACACTGTCGCTGGTGAGACTCGATCCCTGGTCATTATTCATATTTTAGAATATTATGCAAACCTTAATAGTGTATGAGTCCGGAAAGTTAAAATGGAGGATTTTGTTTGTATATATAATATAGATTACTAATTATTTTAATAAGCTTATTATTATTATATTTGGGCAATTAATTATTAATATTCAATTTGGTTCTATTATTTTCGCACAATCTTCCTTATAAATTCTTGATACTACCGATTGTTTTTCATTTTTCCTTTTTAAGGGAAATAACCATATTATTAGTAAAAGTTTGGGCTAGAAACTACACAGAAGAATTTTATTTTTATTAATAGTATAGAAAATTTTAATAATATAAATAAATGTTACCATAATTATGTGTACTAATTTGTCATATATAAATTTCTTACTTTAATAATATTAAATCATATGATAATTTATTCTATTAACACAAAAAGAACAATAAAAAAACATCATCCCATACTCCGTACTTAAAACACAACTCACAGTATATTTAAAAAAAAAAAAAAAAAAAACTTGAATGGAACAAATAATCCATTCTCTAAAAACAAAAAAAATATAAGAACATTGGTTTTTATAAGAATTTAATTACAGGAAATCAAGTTTAGGTCAATAAAAAGTAAAAAAACACTAAATGGTACTTTCAAGTTTCAAGCATGCACATATAGAGATATTTTAATGTATTGGCCTTCAATTATTTCTCTGAATCAGAAGAAGTATCTTCATCAGATGAAGAGGAACCACTTTCCACCACCTCTTCTGAATGTTGACATCGACCTTTTTTTTTTCCTCTATAACTTATTTTAAAGCCGAATTCTTTTTTTTTTTTTTTTTTTTTTTTTTTTTTGCACTGGCCTTATCGACCGTAGCTTTCGCTTCTCTCTTAACTACAAAGTCACCAAAAAAATAGTGAACTCGGGTAGTATCCTCTACTGACTCCGTAACCAATGCATCGCACAAATAACAAAAACCATGCCTGGAAATAAAATATATAAATAATATTACAAAATTATTGTTTTAAACAAAGCAATAATACGAAAATACAATACATATAATACAATTTTTTTAAAAAAAAAACAGAACAATAAGTAAAAACAAAACAATAGTTAAAAATTATGGAAGATCAATTACAATAAAAAATAATACGAAAAAATACTTTTCTAAAAAAATTAAACCTTTTTGCATCGGCTTAGTCGGAGTAACTACAGTTGATCTGGAGTGGCATCGACCCAGACAAATCCATAATAAAGAATGTAAATGAAAAAATAATAACATTTTTTTTCCACAGAGATAGAAATAGTTAGAAGAAAAATTGTACCTTTTAATGCTTTGAAATATGCATATTAGTTTGAGCGGCTATTGAACCACAATGATTAAATTGATAAATTGGTGATGAAAGAGTCATCTGCAAGAGAAAAGAGGGATGCAATGTAAAATGAAGACTTTAATTTTTATTTTTATTTTGTCATCAACTCATTGTATTTATAGGTGAAAAATATGAGAATTATAAATTTGTAAGATTTTTCAAAAGGAAATTGTATTTATTTATTAAAGGTATTGCCTTAATCAAATTATTATATTAATATTCCTAATCAAGTCATTATATTAATATTTCTAATTAATTTTATTCCTAATTAATTCATAATATTGATATTACTAAATTAATCTTAAATTTGGACGGGAAAATGAAATAGGAGGATTTTGTTTATATATATATATATATATATATATATATATATATATATATATATATATATATATATATATATATATATATATATATATATAGGGTCCGGATCAGGTGAGGACCTAATCTTAGGTGAGGACGTGAGGACTAATCTAGACCATTAAATCAGAATGATGTATGATTGAGATTAAAAGAAACAAATCACACGGATTAAGAAAACAAATCCCTTTAAAATATTAAAATATATAAATTTAGGATAAATCAGTCTTATTAAAAGATGTTCATTCCTATACAAAATGTTGTGCATTCCTATACTGAGTGTTGTGCATCAATAACTTCATTGTTGTGCATCAATAACTTCATTGTTGTGCATCAATAACTTCATTGTTGTGCATTCAAACCAACTCCCTAGCCTATAGTGCACAACTTACAACACTAGGTTGCACAATCAGCACACACGAATGCACAATCGTACTACCCAGGCATTTATACATATACACGACAATCCAAATATAGACAATATTATACTCAAAAGAACAAGCAAAAAAAATAAAAAATACTGATTAGTTTGCATGGGCGAACACTCAATCAATGATGAAGAAATCGCGGCTCCAAATTGCAACGGTGATGATCCAAGAAAATAGGAAACCAATTTGGCCAAGGATTATACATGCGTTCACACTTAAAAAAAATAGAAAAAGACACTATTATCCCACTTTAACAAAAAAGATCAATCCATGTCATCTCAAGAACTCAAATCTGGACCATCCAAATAAAAAAACAAACGCACAAGATTAGTCCTCACGTCCTCACCTGATCCGGATTCTATATATATATATATATATATATATATATATATATATATAGAGAGAGAAAGAGAGATTGAGATTGTGTGAACAGTTTATTCATTTATGATAACACTGACCATTTTGCAAGTAATTAATGAAAGGGAAAATTGTAAAAAATGTCCCTCTATAATATGTCAATTATCAATGTCACCCCTGAATTATGAGTGGTGTAAATGTTGCCCTCAATTATCAAAACGATGCACATATAGCCCCTCTCGTAACGGACATGTAGTTTCCCATTAGTGTACGACACCGTTAAGTTGGAGTAAATATGTAATTTAGTTGTTTTTTTCCTCCCTTGATTCGAAGTACCAGCGATGGACAGCGGTGGGGAACCACAGGTTCGTTACGGGAGGGGCTATATGTGCACCATTTTGATAATTGAGGGGCAACATTCACACCACTCATAATTCAGGGGTGACATTAATAATTGGCATAGTATAGAGGGGCATTTTTTACAATTTTTCCTTTTTTTTGAACATAAAACAGACAACTTTCATTAAAACCGTAATAAATCGGAAATACAACTCGGTGGGATCTTGAACCACACCTCCGAGCCAGCTAGAGAACCGGTCGCCCGAGCGAGTTCATGAGCTACGCGATTCGCTGATCTCCTGACATGGGCTATGCATACATTCCCTATGTCACTAGCAATCACCCGACATTGCTTTACAATCAGACCAACATAAGAAAAATCAACAGACTGGGAATTAAAAGCATTACAAAAATTTAAACAGTCAGATTCTAAGATTATATTATTCAGTCTTTGTTCCTTCAACCAAGTCAGTGCTTCTTTAGCCGCAAGAGCCTCGGCCACATATGGATCATGCTCATCGGTCAGAACTCCCCTCTTTGCCGCCACGAAACACCCCAGGTGATCGCGGACAACCAGGCCAAAGCTAGCCCCACCCTCAGCCACGGATGCGTCGACATTGCACTTCAATGAACCTGCTGGCGGTGATGTCCAGTGCTCACGGGTCCTGGCCCTCTCCACAACACTCCTCGCCTGGCAGTACGCCGCACTCCAAGTAACACGAAGCTGTTCATCAAGTGTTGCGATGCGGTAACAGATGGAATGGTATCATGCCATACAGCATCGTTGCGTGCACGCCAAATTGTCCACATAATTTAGGCCATTTTCACTGCATCATCAGCCCCTTGACTGCCCAGAATATGGTCCATGAAAGAGATGAAACCCCTGCCGTGTAGTACATCATTGGTCCCCCATAGCTGCTTCGCAAAATCGCACTCACAAAAGAGATGCGCCATTGATTCCGTAGCAAAGCCACAGATTGGGCAGCCTCCTCCAATCCATACCCTTTTCAAACGCAAGTTATCCCGTACTAGTAGGACGTCACGAGCACATCGCCACAGAAAGTTTCTCACTTTGGGTGGAGTCGGTGCTGCCCATAATGTCTTCCAAGCATGGAACGCAGCAGCCACAGTTGAGTGCATCCTCTCACGAACAATGAGGCGGTAACCATTTTGCACCGTATACTTTCCTCGTAAATCACCTGGCCATCTCCAGCAGTCTTTAGTGTGAGTACTCACTGGGGTGGCAAGGATCCGGGGGATGTCATCAGTATGAAAAATATCCCGCAATATGTCACCATCCCATCGCCCATGTTCATCAAGCAGCCCACTAACCGTGGCATGTCGCAATGCGTCCACACACGGCGTGATTAGAGGTTTATTTGAAGCGTCCGCGAGCCAGTTCCATCCCCATATTCTCGTTTCCGTTCCATCACCAATTCTTCTGGCTAAGCCTTGCTCTAACACAGCCCTCCCGGCCATTATACTCCGCCAAATAAAGCTGGGGTTCCCACCTATTTGGGCCTCCATGAACTCCACGGTAGCAAATATTTAGCCTTCAAGAGACGGCTTACCAACGAGTCAGGCTGAGTTAGCAAGCGCCACCCCTGTTTGGCCAATAAAGCAATGTTAAACTCATGCAGTTTCTTAAAGCCTAAACCACCCATCGATTTCGGTTAGCACAACCTGTCCCAGGATAACCAATGTATCCCACGGCCCCCATTTCCACCCCCCCCCCCCCCAATAGCGATTGAACATCTTTTCCAGCGTGTCGCACACCCGCAACGGCAACACAAAAATTGACATAGTAAAAATTGGAAGAGATTGTGCTATGCTTTTCAGAAGTACCTCCTTGCCAGCTCGGGATAGAAACCTGTGCTGCCACAACCCGATACGTGCCCTAATATTCTCTTCAATATATCTGAACACAGCCGTTTTGTTACGCCCGAGGACCGATGGTAGGCCTAGATAACTCCCCAAATCCGGAGCCTCTCGAACACCCACAATCCCCGAGACTAGAGCCCGAATGGGGCCTGTTGTGTTGTGACTGTACACTGCATTGGACTTATCAAAATTGATTAGCTGTCCTGATGCCGAGCTGTAAAGATCCAAACAATGTTTGATATTCACTGTTTCTCGTTGGGTGGCCTTGAAAAAGAGTAAACTATCGTCAGCGAAGAACAAGTGAGAGATGGCCGGTGCACCCTGGGCCACCCTCACACCATGTATGTCACCCCGGGCCTCTGCCCGTTGCAAGAGAATCGATAGTCCTTCAGCACAAAGGATGAATAGGTAAGGCGACAAAGGGTCGCCTTGCCTGATTCCCTGGGTAGGACGAACATGCCCCGCAGCCACCCCGTTAACCAAAATGGAATAATTAACGGTGCTGACACAGAGCATTACAAGAGCAATCCAACTGCTCTCAAACCCGAGGGCCCTCAGCATACCCTCCAGATAGGGTCATTCCATCCTATCGTATGCTTTAGCCATGTCTAGCTTCAGCGCGGTCCACCCTATGTTTCCTCCCGTCTTCCTGTGTAGGAAGTGCTCAATCTCACCGGCAATAATAATGTTGTCAGTTAGGAGTCAGTCAGGCACAAAGGCACTCTGAAACTGAGAGACAACTTGTTCCAAACAAACCTTCAAACAGTTAGCAATCATTTTAGCCAAAACTTTGTACACAACGTTACAAAGGGCTATAGGCCGCAGGTCCGAAACTCGAAGTGGCGTAGCCTTCTTTGGAATCAAAACGATATTAACATCGTTTAGACCTGGGGGGGAAAGGTTCTGGTTTCTACACAGTTAAGCAGAAACATCAACATGTCATGTCCCAGTACTGGCCAAAAATGTTGGAAGAAGGCCGGCGACATTCCATCTGGCCCGGGCGCCTTGTCAGGGGCCATGCCAAACAGGGCCTCTTTCATTTCCATAATCGTGAAAGGCTGCGACAGAGATAAATTCATCTCGTTCGTGACCCTTTCCTGGACATGGTGAAAGAGGTTGGCATTATTAGCACCGGAACAAAAAATAGCTTCGTAGTACCTGAGGATTTCCGTGTTCATAGCCACACCTTCCTGCCAATTGCCCTCTATATCTTTCAGCCTTGATAACAGATTGCGCTTGCGCTGAGCCGTTGCAGATTTATGGAAATATTTAGTGTTTGCGTCGCCGTGCTTAAGCCATAACTGCTTCGATCGTTGTTTCCAGAAGACTTCCTCCGCAACAAGCAAAGCCTCCAACTCACCCTCCGCATTCATGAAATGTTCCACTCCCTGTACACTACGATCCTCCTTTAAACGAGCCAGAGTTCGGCGCAAGATTTGGATGCGGTTGCCGAATCGCCGATGATGTTCTCCCCCCCACCTCCATAGCCGCTCACCGCACATGGCGAGACGCTCCTGGAAGTCTAAGCCCGCGGATAGTCGCCAGGCTTCGTCGACAACCTTGGCACACCCCTCTTCCAAGAGCCATGATGTTTCAAATTTAAAGGACCGAGAGTGTGCTCTGGTAGTCCCCGGATCAAAGGTTACGGACAGCGCACAATGATCCGAAAACACCATGTAAACATTTTGAACCACCACCTCGTCATGGAGCTCCAGCCACTCCGTCGTAGCAACCGCCCTGTCTAGGCGTTCTTCAACCCACGACTCGGTGCCTCGACTCTTCTCCCAAGTATACCTGCCACCTTCCATACCCAAATCAATAAGCTAACAATCACCCAAAGTATCATTAAACCCTTCAATGAGCGAGGCCGGATGGGAATGTGATCCCCTCTTCTCGGAAAGACACGCGATGTCGTTGAAATCGCCCACGACGATCCACGACAGAGATGACCTGTCTTTTAGTTGCCGAAGCAAATCCCATGTAATGTGACGCCGGGACCGATCCGACTCACCATAGAATCCAGTGAGCCTCCAAACCGGGCGCCCGAGCAGTGTTATCTCCATATCAATGTGGTTGTTGGAGTAACTCATGAGCGATGCCGTATCCGCATTTCTCCAGCAGAAAGCAAGACCCCCACCTAGACCCGTACGCTCCACACCAATCTTACAATCAAAAACCATCTTCACACGTGCCTCCTCCACCTGTACATCAGTAGCCTTCGTCTCCATTAAGAAAACGAACATAGGTCGCGTTTTGGACATGATGTCCAATAGTTCGCTAACTGTCCGGGTGCCACCCATTCCCCGGCAGTTCCAGCTCAAGAAACTCATTTATCCTGGCGAGCCTGGTCCGCCAAGCCCGCCTTCTCATGATTTCGTGGTGTGTCGGTCATCTGCACATCACTACCAAATGTAGTGTCTTCTTCTTCACCCCTTCTGCGCTTCAGGTCTCCTTGCAACCCCCTTGCCTCCTCCGTATCCACCAGAACCGCCGGTGGTGGGCCCGCCGAGGGAAGAGTAGCCACAGCCGCTGACATAGCCGTAGCCGGTAGCAGCCACTTTGCACCGACCGTTTTTACCTGTCGTCTTGGACCGGCTCGAAGCCAAGCTCCAAACGGGAACGCCTCCGGGAGAATTCCTTCTTGGTACACCGTTTTACAAAACTTGTCTAAATGGCCCAGTATTCCACAGCAGTAGCAAAAGGTACTCAAGCGCTCGTATTTGAACGTGATCCATTGCACGGATCCATCTCGCCTAATGAGTTTCATCCGCCGCTTGAGAGGGGCCGAGATGGTCATCTTCACCCTGATCCGGTAATAGCTCTTCCATGCCCCACCAAAATTAAATGGGTCTGCCGTGATGAAATCTCCAATGTAATCCCTTATCTTGGCTATGAAATCTTGGGAGGCAAACATGGTCGGTAGACCATGAATCTGGACCCAAAACGGGATAGACGCCAATTCGACATCCTCTGGCCTGACGCCCACCGGAACTTGATCGCAGATCAGGAGGCTATTCTCGAAGGACCAAGGCCCATCGTCGAGAACCCGCTGGAGATCCTTCGGGTGGGGAAATTGAAACAGGAATAGGTCATCGGACAGCGACACTGCATACATCCCCATGACTGGACGCCACACAGACGCCAGGACCTGCTGCAAATGCTCAAATCGTACCTGTCGATTCGTGAGAAGCCTTCCAACCAGATTGTGATGAATCGTAGCATCCGGGATCGGCTGCAGATCAGGTGCCTCCAGACCGCCAGTTTCTTCTTCGGCCAAGGAGAGATCAGCACATTGATTTTCGATTTGTTGAATATCCATTTCGACGTATTGTATTGGAATCAATAAGAACAGAATAATCGTAGAACAAGACAACACAACTGCAGTAGCCATCTGACAAATCTGCTATAAAAAGAACCCTAGAAATCTAGGGAGATCACCCCCTCGACGCACGTTCGAGAGAGAGGGCCGCTACGACGCCGATGATCGGCGATCACGATCGGGAGACTGGCGACTAATGCGGAGCGTTTTCGATCCAATAGTAATACCTACCTAAAGTAATAATTTTTTAATATAAAAAGTGATGAGTTACAATTTTCCCTTAATGAAAATACATTTGTTCCTTTTTTTTTTAGTCAATTTCACGTAATATGTAGTAAACTTTATGTAATGATTTTAGTAATGAAAAATAACGTTTTTTTTTTAAAAATAATTATTGTTCTAGTTAGGAAAGTAAATCACATACCTACCAATCTACCATAATTGGAAAAATTTTACAAACGGTAAAAATGCCAATTACTAAAAAAGCCAATTTAATTAAAAAGTCTATTTACTTAATTAATTTCCATTTTACTTTTCTTACCAAATAAGTTTTACTTTAAAAGATTGGGCGGGAAAATGAAATAGGAGGATTTTATATATATATATTTTACTTAATTTCCTTTAAACATTTGCTTACCAAATAAAATTTATTATTAATTTGACCAATATATTATTAATTGGACCAATATATATATATATATATATATATATATATATATATATATATATATATATATATATATATATATATATTAAATATTATTAATTGTATATAATATCTATATATAAATAATGGATGATATTACAGAAATGCCCTTAAGTTTTGGGGGGAAAACTTGCTAGGAGGATTTTACTTATATATATATAGATATATAGATATATAGATATATAGATATATAGATATATAGATATAGATATAGATTATAAATCTAATATTCCATATATTTTGATATTTATAAATAAACTAGTATTTGCACCCGTGCGATGCACGGAATGAATTTGTTGTAATATATTAAGAATATATGAATTGATATATAATTATTTAAATTAGAACATCAAATATTATATAGTGCAATTAAAGATATGGTTTGGATCGTTTATATAATTTGATGTTATCATTGCTTGTATTTGTGTAAATAATTGCTCAAATTAATAGTTAATGTCTAGATGTACGCATGCGGTGCTATAACTTTGAAGATTTTATTTATCATTGTTTAGTATTTTCATAAATTAGGCAAATGTGTTCGTTCTCCAACAACTCAGTTATAGAAATGAATTGCTATCCTTATTCATTTGTATGGAAGATATATTTTTTTTCTAGATATATAACAATTTTTTCATTTAAAAAAAAAACTTAATAACACCGATTATATTTACACATTATTGAAACCTCTTTGTAGACGACATTGGTAGTGGCAACACAATCCTGTTCATCTTCGTCTAGAGCTAACACCTTCAATCCAGCAAAACAGGTTACTTGGGTGAAAATATATAATGGTAAAATATCACTCAATTAGTTATCTTTTTATATTTTCAGTCAATTAGTAATATCACTATATCAGATTCATTTTCAACCAATTATTATTTTTTATTTTCAGTCAATTAGTCAATTAGAATATCAAATTCAGTGATATTTTTACCTAATTTTTGTCCCATTTTAAATTGATGATGTAGATATTATTATTGAAATATTACCGTTCCATTTTTAATTTACCTTTACTATTGTTTAACATATGCATTTACTATTGATAATGTAAAATACTATTATTGAAATATTTTTCTCCAATTTTAACTTTCCATTCTATTTTTAATTAAAATGCAATGATCTGACCATTTCTTTTTTTTTTTCATTATTTTATTTTAGTCAATTATGGATCATTTTTTATTTGCAGTCAATTATTAATATTCATTTCCTTTTATATTTTCAATCAATTAGTAATATTAGATTCATTTTCAGTCAATTATTTTTTTTTTTTTTTCAGTAAATTAGTCAATTAGAATATAAATGCAGTGATATTTTTACCTAATTTCTGTTCCATTTTAATTTGATGACGTAGAATATTATTAATGAAATATTTTCGTTCCATTTTTAATTTATCTTTACTATTTTTTAAAATATGCATTTACTATTTGATGATGTAAAATATTATTATTGAAATATTTCTTTTCCATTTTTAATTTTCCTTTACTTCTAAACAAAAAAACAAAAAAAAAAAAAAAAAAAAAAAAAAAAAAAAAAAAACTCTGGACTTCTCAATATTTGCCTATATAGAGGAACTCAAGAGCTCCTCTTTCCAAAGTGAGATCAAAATGATCCCACATCATTAACCAATAACGCCTCCACTAAAGCTCAAACTCATAATCTTCCAAACGGAAATCCAACCTAGGTACCATTAGACCACCAACCCAGGTATTATTATTGTTAGTGTTTTTAAATGTTCAAAAGCCCCATATTATAATTGGCAATATTATTATGGCATACTAAGATAGGTTTAGAGTCTGTCCGTTTATCTCTATGGATAACTGATCAATCAGAAGCAACAACAGAAGTACTGACACTGAAGATCTGATTTAGGAAGCTGGTTTCTTAAAAGGCTTACGCGGTATTATCAGACTCATATGGAAAGATGAGCAGCGAATATTCTTAAGAAAGGTATGGACCTAACCTTCTGAGATTACATTCCTCTTTTATAGTCCTACCTTCTACAATCAAAGACATCTATGGAGAGTGGTTATTGAAGGATCTATAAGTACCCTTATTCGAAGAGAATTAGGGTTACACCAAAAGTAAGAAGAAACACTCCATTATCTGCTACATGAGATTAGATCTTTGATTGTCATGTATCTTCTCAATACAATATGTTCACGGTGATTAAGATGATGAACTTGAGAAGAGTTACTGCTGCTTAAACGAAAGGACACTGTGATCACACTGTTGTGGGAACAACTTTATAGAGCGTCATTGAAGTGGACTGCATCAGAGTGGGCTCTCCAAGTGAAGGGATTTCATTGGACTTCTGTATGCATGGCTCTCCATCTTCAACAATCCACTAGACCTGTGTAGACTGGGTTTGAACCTTGTGTGGGGCACTTGGGTAAGATTATTGTATATCTACCTTTGTACATTGGTTTATGATTTAGTGGATTGGACGCCTATGTGATCGTCCCCCAGACGTAGATACACACCGTATCGAACTGGGTAAACATTCTGTGTCTTTGGCTTTTGTCCGGTTATCTTTCTCGTATACTCTCTTCATGATTTATCATTACTAACTGGTCTCTTATCTGAACCAATTAGTAATCTACATCAGTCATCTAATTCAGTTAAGTTACTTAAAATGAGGAATTGCAAAATTACATGTGGTATCAGAGCTTTTAAGTCTACATAGTGACTTGATCCGAAGGGCTGTTTTAGTTTTGCATTCTCTCTGTTTTTGTGCAAGTCTCTCTGTGTGTTCGTTGTCTGGTTGTTGTAATCAGGATGGACGCAAGTATGAAACCGCCAGAACTAGATGGTCACAACTACTCTTTCTGGAAGGCTCGAATGGAGATATATCTTCAAGCACAAGGTACCAGGGTTTATCGCACCATCCTAACTGGGTGGAGTCGGCCTACTACTCAGAATGCGCAAGGAGTTGCTGAAGAAAAGCCCATGGAGACTTGGACAGACGATGAAATGAATGCCTCTGATCTGAACAACAAAGCATTGAACTCAATTGTAGGATCACTGCATGAATATGTTTTTACGCTTGTTACAGGAGTAAAAGAGGCTAAAAGGGTATGGGAAATTCTTGAAACCAGATTTGAAGGAACCAGTGATGTCAAACAGTCAAAGCTGCAAATGGTTCTGTCAGAATTTGAAGCGCTCAGAATGATTGAAGACGAAACCATTTCAACTTTCCACAATAGGGTTCAGAACTTGATGAACCGAGCCTCAATTCTTGGGGAACCGTTCACTGATGAGAGGGTGGTCAAAAAGATCCTTAGATCTTTACCTAAGCGTTTTCGAATGAAAGTAACTGCTATTCAGGAACACACAGGTTGGGAAAAGAAGACTGTAGGAGAACTCATGGGAAGCTTACACACATACGAACTGGAAGTTCTTGCTGATGATGATATTGGAAGCAACAGGAAAGGAAAGTCGGTATCCTTTGTGGCTGAGGCTGATCGAGAATATGACACAGACGACATAGATGATGAAACCTTAGCTCTTCTAACCAAAAACTCCAAGAAAATTTTAAAAGGTTTCAACAGAAAGGGTCAAGGTCAGCCTACCAGGACACAATACAAAGGCAACAACTCCTCATATCAAAAGGTAGAAACAACACCTTTCTCACAAAACAATCAATCTCAGATTGGGCGATCAAGAAAAAACAGAAACAGTTCCACAGACACAGGAAAACCCCTCAATCGGTCAGTGCAATGTAGGGAATGTGAAGGATGCGGTCACATACAGGCTGAATGTGCAACATATCTTAAAAGGAAAAAGGATATGTCTGTAGCTACTCTTAGTGATGATGAGGAGGAAACCTCAAATGATCAATCAGATGATAATGTAGGAAACTTTGTAGCTTTCTTTACTGCTACAGACCTTCAGTCAGACGAAGATCAATCTGATGAAGAATCATATATATCAACTGATGATTTTGAAGAGAGACATACTCAACTTGAGACAGAATTTGCAAAACTTGTTACTAGCTGGGAACAACTTGTGAAAGTGAATAAGAATCTGAATGACAAGCTGAAGCAAAGAGATGATCTTCTAAAGAAATTGAATGCAGAACAAAAGGTCATACTCGAACAAGGGAAGGAGGTACGATCAGAATACTGATACTGACCTGGCCAGATCAACTCATCAATCTCATTATTCGAGGTTCAAAAATAAGATTGTCAAAGTTAAATATTACACTCCCATTTGTCACTACTGTCAAACAAAAGGTCATACTCGACCTGAGTGTTATTTTTTCAACAGAGATCAAAGGAAGGAAAAATATCAGAAT